GGCCTCCGCCGCGTGTCGCCGGGCCCCGGTGAGGGTGCGGCGCCGGGCCCGGCCGCCCGATGCGCGGCCGCCGATACCCGTTCACCGCGCTTCCCTGTGCCCACAGCCGCAGAACGAGTACATCGAGCTGCACCGCAAGCGCTATGGATACCGCCTAGACTACCACGAGAGGAGGAGGAAGAAGGAGGGCCGAGAGGCTCACGAGCGGTCCCGGAAGGCCAAGAAGATGATCGGGCTGAAAGCCAAGCTCTATCACAAGCAGCGGCATGCTGAGAAGATACAGATGAAGAAGACGTGAGTACCCGCGGCTTCTCTGACACTGACATGTGAAGTAGGAGATGAGACGTTAATATAGTTACACAGAACTAGTTATTACTTGGATCATGCGTTACACTTTTAAATAGCGCTCAGGATGTAGGAGAAACTGTGTTTTGCCATAGTGAAGACATACCTGATTTCCTTTCTTCTCCATGCATGTTAACAATTCTGTTCCTAAAACTATTCCTTAAAATGTGTTAATGAGCAATAACAGTGACTAATGTAATTATGACAAAAATGTGAACACATTTACTTTGGGCTTTTACATTAACTTCTATATTAGCATAGCAAAGAAGCAGTAGGCATTTTCTTAACACTGTTCACAGAAAAAGTAAAGTAACATACAGAATGTTTGAGCAGAATACAAGACTTGTCTTTCAATATCAGACATAGATAAACAGAAGTCTTTTTCTGAAAATTTCCTCTGTTGTTTGGAAGTTGAAATCAAAGCTGTTAATATTCTTTTCAGCTAACGAGCGTTCTGTCTACCATAATTTTGTTGTTTTCCAAGTGTAGACAGTCATTTTTCTCTGTTACTTGTAACTAGTTTATGAGTCTTTTTTTTTTTTGCCTTAAATGGCCTCAAAATTAATGAAACACAACCCCCTTTTACAGAAACACATTCCTCAGATTTGTAAGTATTGCCATGATTGTCTTGATAGGAACTGACAAGCTTTTGTGCAGTTTTGTGCAATGTGCAGTTTGTCAGTTGTTACATGAAGTGAAATTACTCATTTACCATAAATACTTCAGGATTATTCCTTAAACATAAATACGTACTTGTTTACAAATATCTCTTAAAAGTTTGAGCAGGCCCAAGTTAAGTTAAAAGGATTTATCTAAAAATTAGCCTTTTTTTTCCTATTCTTAATACTGCTTTTCTTTCCTTGCAGCATTAAAATGCATGAAAAAAGAAATACAAAGAAAAAGAATGATGAAAAAACACCTAAAGGAGCAGTACCAGCATACCTGCTGGACAGAGAGGGCCAGTCCCGTGCTAAGGTTCTCTCTAACATGATCAAGCAGAAAAGAAAAGAAAAAGCTGTAAGTAACTGTATTAAAATTCAGACACTTGCAAATATTTTTGACAATGACCACTCTGTGTTGCTGATGCTCACATGACTTACAGCCTACAAGCAAAGTTGAAATAAAACCCAAAACCTTGAGTAACTGAGCAAGCTAGGATACAGTAAGCACATGCAATATTTTGATTTTCATAACTGTAAATGATAATTAAGGCAAGTAGCTATGAGTTATGTGGTCTACCCCTGTGCTTTAGCAAAATTTTATTTTATGCTTTGGTTGTCCTCTTTCATTTAGCAGTGCAGCGTGTAAGACTATTGACTTCTTTTTCCCCCCACTTCCAGGGGAAATGGGAGGTTCCTGTGCCAAAGGTCCGTGCACAAGGAGAAACAGAAGTTTTAAAAGTGATTCGTACAGGAAAGAGAAAGAAGAAGGCCTGGAAGAGGATGGTTACAAAAGTTTGTTTTGTTGGAGATGGCTTTACTAGGAAGCCTCCTAAATATGAACGATTTATACGACCAATGGTAATGTTACTGAGCCTTAAAAAAATGTTAATTAATAATTGTTTTGACTTACTGCTTTGAGTTCCTGTGGTGAGGAAACTTTCTTCTATGGTAATGCACTTGATTACTGTTGATGTAGAACATTCCTATTAGTTTTCTTGCAGAAATCTAAACTTTGAATAACCTGAGGGTGGGGAGGTGCCCCTGCAGTCACAGTCTGTGTTGAAATACTACTTTTACTCCTGTAACTTGGATGATGCCAGCAAGTTAAATCTACCAGCTGTCAAATTAGCATGGGAAGTTCTTTAGCAAGTGCACCTTGAATAGCTTTTAAAGTTGGAAACTTCTTTTACAAGCTGTTATGATTCTGTCAGCTGCAGGAGCCAACTCTGTTCGAGGACTCCAGAACTCCCTCCTGTCTTCTTAAGTAAGCTTGAAGCCCAGTTGTAACTATATGCAAGGGCAGTGCTGCATCTTCAGCCTGACCTTTTCTTACACAGCTGCAGGAACAGTGCCTGGGCTCTAGGAGCCTGGCAGTGCACTCAAGGCAAAACTAGATTCACTAAGACAGCAGTTTTTCTATGAATACCTGTTCCTGTTTCTCACAGGAATCAACAGAGTTGCCTATGTAGGATGCCTGTTGGATTGCACCTCATTACTATTTTGATGGTTTTACATAGAAGCCTTGGATTTATTGACACAGAAAAGCTTATGGTACTTAATGGTAAAGTACCCTTTACAAAGTACAGGTCACTAGACAGAAAGTGCTGTAAGAGATGGGTATTTAATACTATACAAGATGTGAAAGGTTTTGCAGCTTGACAAGAAAAAAGGAAGAATTTCTAGTCTTAAAAGCCAGTGGCACTGTTAAGGCATTTATTCTAATACGTTTATTTCTTCATGGAATAAAAGCCATCTGAGGTAGCAAGTATTCTTGTATTACTATTAAGAATTGCCATCCTGAAAATATACATGGGAAGCTTTATTCAAGTTTTTAAACAAATATGGATTTTCTACAGTGGGCAGATAGCATTCTGTCTTCTAAGTTGTTTCATTCTTCCTTGTCTCTCAAAACATTTGAGGACATATGCTGAAAGTGTTAAACTAGATGAGCTTGAGGGCTTAAAGCAAATACTAACTCATTCTAATACTCCTTATGCAACAGGGCTTACGTTTCAAGAAGGCACATGTGACACATCCTGAACTTAAAGCTACTTTTTGCCTACCTATCCTTGGTGTAAAAAAGAATCCTTCTTCTCCTTTGTATACAACACTGGGTGTAATTACCAAGGGTACCGTCATTGAGGTGAATGTGAGTGAGCTTGGCCTCGTGACACAAGGGGGCAAAGTTATCTGGGGTAAGTAGTGAAACTAACTCTACTGCAGAATTACTTTAAAAACTTTTAAGTCTTGATTGCCTCATGTATTGTTAAGACTATGTTCTATAGTCACAGTTGATCCATTGTTAAATGTTAGGTTTGCGCAGTAGCAACCACTAGGTAATTCTAGAAACATAAACTTTAAGTTTTAATCTCAGGCTTTCCATTTACACTTTCAAAATCAAATTAGGTGGGTTCAGAACAAAGACTCAGCTTGCTTATGTCTTACATTAAGCAATGCTACAAGCCTATGGAGACCTAAGTTTGTGAACTCTGAACAGTGCCATTTTCAGTGGAAGTTCTGTGTAGAAGTATCTTCATAGGATTTTTTAATAGAGGGGTTGACTTGGATAATAGCAGAACCTGTGTGTGGGTTTTTTTAAATCTACCCAGAACTCTAAAATCATCCATTTATAAAAAACAGCCTTAAATATTTTGAGAACTGAAGTTTGCTGCTCAGCAGAAGGCAGATTTAGATTTCAAAATGCATTTCAGTTTTGGAACAGGAATTCCTTATACTTCAGAGGGACTTGTGGATTGAACTAGGAAACACAGAAAAATCAAATTTATTACGTGAACTACTTCAGGCTTTTGTAGATATCTAATTCCCTTTTCTTTTTAGGGAAATATGCACAAGTAACAAACAATCCAGAAAATGATGGCTGTATTAATGCAGTTCTACTTGTTTAAGTGGTGCTTGATACTAAGCATTAGACATGAGCTCTTGTAAAATCAGTGCAGTTTCAACCAGTTTGCAAGAACTCTGGAACCTTCAACCATTCAAGAACATGGACCCCACAAGCTGGTGAGGAACTTAAACATGCCAGAAACAACTGCTCAGGTTTTCATACTTGTTTGTTCAGATGAATACTGTCCAAATAAAGTGATTCATTTTCATGTTTTGCTGATGTGGTGTGGATTTGATCTAAACCTTCTTGGTTTAGCAGTTTCCTGGCTTAGATATATTGTATATTTAATGCAGCTCACATTCCTAGTGGTGGGAAGTACATCCACTCTTTCCCACAGTGGCCTACTGTAATAACTAGAGGTACAGAAGAATATGCTAATTTGTATTCTGCTTCTGGGAAAGCAGAAGAGCTGGAAGAATGCAGCTAGAATCTTACTGTAGACTGCCATCAGAAATTAAAACACTCATTTTGATACATGCCCCTACAGAAGCATGGGCTTGAGAACACATGAGCAGCATGGGGATGTGGGGATGTCTTTCTCCTGTTTGCCTCCATGGCTGCATTAATGGAGAGAATTAAGGACTGGAGAGCATAGCACTGTAGTTCCAGGCAAGAGGAGAACAGTTAAATTTATGAAGTTGTAGGCATTTTAAGATCTGAAATATGAGAATGGCATAACCCCAAGACTACAACTACTTGTAGCTATTTTGGTGGCTTTAAGAAACATTCAAGAAAAACTAAAGGTCACAAGCATCAACTGATCCTCAAAATACAAGAAACAAAAGCTGGTTCTAAACAGGAAGCTTTCAACAGTGGTGTATAACTGCCACAGTAATCTTCAGGTCAATTTATTGCTTAACAAACTTCACACAATCTATCACTACAAATGAGCATAACATTTTATATTCCTACTCCTAATCAGTACTTCACTTCAAGCCAAGGAGCTTTTATCACAGATTCTAAGTCAGATCCTTATAAGCTTTGTCCAGTTTGAGGACACTCTCACCCTTCAAAACTAAGGAGGAAATTTTCAAACAAAACTCTATGACTTCTGAAATATCTTAAAGAATGTAAGTGTTCTATGTTTAAATAGAATTCCCTGTATTCCAGTTTGTGCCCACTGCCCCTTGTCCCATTGCTGGGCTCCACTAAAGAGCCTGCTTCATCTTCTTTATACCCCCCTCACTAGATACTAGTACACAAGGTACAATCCTCCCAAGCTTTCTCTTCTGCAGGCTGAACAATTTGCATCTCTCAGCCTCTCGTATGACAGATGCTCCAATCCCTCAATCATCTTCATGACCAAATCATGTTCCAGATACATGGCTCCAGCCAGAAAGTCAAGCTAGTTGCTTTTGTACCAGCTTTGTAACTTCTTTTACACTATGTGAGAGTCAGCACTTTAACTATATGAAAGCTTTCTCCTCTTACAGGCTATTTTGTTAGTTTAATTAATACATTGCCCTAGTCTAGGCTTAAAAACTTACTATGATTTTTACTTCTTTGTGTAGTGACAAATGATTTGAAATTAAGAAAGGATTACAAGCCAGTAGGTCATTTGCTTAGAGAGGGCATTTTGTCAAAACAGATGAACCTTCATGTAAGTTCTTGTTGCTTTACCCTTTACTGCACATTAACAACATGAAAAGAATACTTACATTTTCTACAGCTGTCTCAAGAACATTACTACATTTTGTGTTATAAATACATGACTTGTTGGCTGAATAACAGAACTGTTGCACTTAAAGTATTTTAATGTACCACACTATAGGGAGAGTGTTACAGCATTTCTAGTTGGCTTGTCTATAGCAAATTTAACTACTAAGTTACATCTTGCATAGTTGGTATAAAGAGCATAATGCATGCTATAATGTTCAGAACAGGCTATTCTACAGCTTTTTTTTTTTATAAAAGTCTGATGCATAATCTAATTAAATACAGAAAATTGTTTTAATCAAAAAAAATTCAAAAATCTGAGCTTTTAAAGCTCCTTGGTAGCACAGACTGTAATATTATGCTAATTCTAGTGAACTGAACCATTTAAAAACATGCCTCCTGTATAGTAGAAAAGACTCAAGTACTAAAGACAAGGAAAAAAATAATTTCAAAATAGAAGTTTAATTACTACTTCAAAACATTTCAAATGCAGCCAAAAGGAGTACTAAACAAAGGAAAAACTAACACTGTAACAAGGCTCAAGTACAATACTTTAAGGTAGCAACACATCTTTCAAAAGGTTTGTAAACAGAGTATCACTAGTTTCAAAAACATATAACACCATGATTGTGAAAATAAATTTAGAAATGTATCCCCTTGGAAATAAAATTTTGGAACAGACACTTAGAGAAGCTGAAATTTATGCCTATTTGTGCTCAGTTTAACTTAGTAGTATTGATGACATCTACAAATGAAGTGGTATTAAGAAAAGCAACATATGAAGGCCAGACATAACTTCAAATGTTTCAAGAGTCATTTTGAGTTAAGACATAGACATTTTCATGTAAAGGGCTATGAAACATGAGAACAAGTAAGAATTCTGCATTAAATAAAAAAAAGAACAAAGGAGAACATGCAAAAATTTGCAAAGCAAACCCTGCAAAAAATTAACAAGCAGTTCGAGAGACATTTGACAAATGTTGGATTCAAATACAAAACTATTTACCATTTAAGAGCAAGGCTGAAGTCACAGATTCATGTTCTTTAAACTCTATTCCTAGACTAAATAAATTTCAAAAATAATACTGCTTGCTTTCACTGTACACATGTAGTTCCACAGCATGTTGGAATAGCATTTGGTATAAACCTGTATAAAGTTGATGTTTTAATCATTGTTTGCTGGTGCAGTACGGTCTTAAAAATTCTTTACTAGTTTGTTGGTAGTAAGACAGACTAAAAAAAAAAAGTCCAAGCCTAGAAAACACTTGTTTTCCAAAGGTAAATCACTTCAGTCAATACAGCTGTCAGATAGGTTCCTTTTTAATGTTCATTTTAGTGTAACAGAAGGTATACACTGCTAAACTACTGTTCCAATGGGACAACCAGTACAGCAATAAAAACTATTATTTAAAGTCATTATTTTGATTTTGCTACTCTATTTACTGCAAGATGACTGATACCAAAGAAATTGTTACAGAAATAAACTGTGTCCTTTAGTTCAAAGTGCTGCTGCCATCACAGATAGAACAATGTCCTGTTTTCAAGACTGTACTGTACAGAATTGCTAATTGCACCCCAACTGCCCACATACTGTATGTAACAGTGTGGCCATAAACTACTCTCTCAAGTGCCTCAAATTTACAGAGTATCTATCTACTCAAGACTATACTTATGTGAATTTAAATTCAGTATTTAAAACTGACTCACTGAAATAAGATCTGAAATCTGATTGTTCTCAGTAGAAACCAAGACTGAGTTAATCCAATAATCTTGTTATAATATATTTAATACGCAGGTATTTTAAGATACTAATCAAAATCAGTTCCAACTTAACCATGAAAAAAATAAAAGCCAGATGAGTGACATTACCTCTCAAAACAGTTTTCTGACCATAGGGAATATCTAGCTGGATTTTGAATAGGTAACTGAAGGAACTTCAAATCACTTTTTGTAAGCAAAAGAATCTGCGGCTTTTTGAAAGTGGATATATTTGTATCAGTTGAAGTATTCAGATTAATCTTTAGTAAAGCTTGCTCTAACAACAGAAAAGGAATCACAATATACTGTATATAACCACACTTTAAGCCACCAGCTCTCACAAATCCCAAATTCTTAGCAATGCTATAGGTGTGTTTTCTATACACTTTTTTTACACAATAAGTATTAGCAGTAAAAGAGAAGTCATACAGAAGGTAACAGAAGTTTTGTCTTATATGCATTATAGAAAATCCTTAATTATAGAAATGCTTAAGGTTCACTTGAATGTTTACAAACAATCGTGAAAGATCTTGAACGTGTACCAGTCGTGGTGTTCACAAGGAATACCTGTATGTACATGGATAGAAAGTTACAGCTACAAGCAACAGTTCAAGAAATGCAGGTTCAACTCGGTAATCCCATGCACCCTGAATCTAAAGTTCAGGTAATTCACATTTCTTGAAAACTTTTTTTTTTTTTCTCCTCTATAAACTGGTTTTAACAGATTAAAAAGAGCTTGCTACTTATCAGCTGAAACAAAAAGTACAAATGTCTTATACAGTTAAAATACCTTATAAATATAGTTAAACTGTATAAGCATAAAATCCAAACCCAGATTCTTACTTCAGCTTCATAACAGGATAAAGCTTAAGATAGCATTACAACTATTCAAGTGAACCTTGTATTTGGAAGTCCTGAACAACAACTTCTAGATACCTCTTTTTCAGACAGAGGGATACTAGTCCACTCATCTTCGAAAAGGCTTATAACAGGAGAAATAGTGGTGTAATTTCCTGTTCTTTAGAACCACTGTTCTTTGCTTTTTTTAGTTTCTAATCCATTATGAGAGGAGCTTCATTTATGGAAAGAAACACATAGCAAACTAAGGAGTAACTTTTGCCACTGTATGTGTGACAAACAGAGAAACTAATGGTTTTCTAGGAGAACCTCTGAAGGGAAACATTCACAAAAAGCCTGTTTTTATTTCTGTTTGAATACAGCAAAGTTTGGTTGCTGCCTTTAAGAAAATCTATGACCTAGGAGGCCAATCCAAGGGATTACACCCAAGTTAGAAAAAGAAAGTGGGAATCAGAAGTATTTCCAAGCAATCACCTGCTAACTCCTAAAGGCATAGAAGTTTGGCAAACAAGCATTTGCTGAAACACTCAAATATTCACACTAATGAATGTCACAACCACCTGAAATGCCAGCACTCAGACAACACACCTGGCAGAACAACAGCCAAGTATTTGGAAAACACAAAGTACTGCTTCCATTCAGACCAAAACAAGATCAGAAGTTGTCATATCCTCCTGCTATAATTTAACAAGTAATCAGGTATCCACTCAAGACATGCAAGTAGATAGAAGGGCTGCTGAAACCATTTATATAGGTACTGGAGCCTACACTCCATACAATCTGGAAAAATTAGGTTTACCAAGATGCTCACTTTGAAAGCTACAAATAGTTTACTGTGTAGGCATCTCTTAATCCTCAGGTAAAGAAATTAATTATCAAAGTGTGCTACGGTAGATACTATGCTGACCATCATTCTACTGACTCAGATGTTTCAAGTGATACTCATGACATGACAGATGCTACTTATGTTGTTTTGATCTACCAAGACATACCTTCTTGTATATTTGAGACCTAGAATTACAGAATCTTACAATTCTTTTAATCTCTCCTGATAAATATTTATGGGAAAGGAACAAGAAGCAACAAATTATTTTCCTTTTTCTGTACTCACCACAGTAGAGAACACAATGCTAGAGTGATGTCTAGCTTCATGGAAGTCTATGGGAATTTAAGGGACCTTAATAGGGCCAGGATTTCACACCAGATTTTCTTCCACAACTGCCACCTCAAAGCACCAAACTGCTCCCTTTGCTAGCAGAACTGCATTTATTCAGCATGTGTCCTTTATAAAAGGAGGAGACTGGCTGTTTATTTTCATACTTTGATGAAGCTCAAGTGCTTAAAAATTCAAGAAAATTTGAGGAAAGGTGATGAGTCCTAAGAGGAAGTCCAACCCAGAATTTTAAACACGCATGTCCTGTGTCCCATATGGTTTAGTTATGCTCTAGTGTTTTACACAAAATAATAAATTTCTTATAAATAGATGAATTAGCAATCAATATTTCATTTTTAAGCTGGCTTTCCTTTTTTCTTGGGTGGGCCTTTAGAACATTTGGCCTTTCTTCGCAAATTTCTCCGATCTACAATGGGTATCTCAACTTCTGCCTCCTCAGAGCTGCTGTCAGCAGCCCGCTCTGCTGCTGTTTGCTGGTGTTGATCCATCTGCTCAGGGGGCTCTTCTGAGTGTTCTTCCAACTGGTTCTTCTGCCCTTCCTGTCCAGAAGGCTGCTGAAAAGAAAAACCCTCAAGTTCAACCACTATCAAAGAGCTCTGACTCAAGGCAACAGGGGCCTCCTGTGAGTTGTGATCTACCTCATCTTGACCTTCCAAAGAGGAAGCCACTTCAGGCAATACATTTTCAGAAACAGATTCCTCTGCTGCTTCAGTCACCATAGGGTTGGGCAGGCCACTGTTAGAAGTCTCTTCCTTTGATGTCGAAGCAGCTGCATTTTCAGTGGTGGTCTTTTCAGATTCTTGCTGTTCTTCAGTGCCCTCCTTTTCTACTACTGTACCTTCTTTAGTCAGCATTTCTGAATCATTTATATTTGAAGCCTGGGGTGGGGGGAGAAGAGGGGTGTGAAAACAACCAAAGGGACAATTAATTGAAAATAGAAGAGGCTGAATAACTAGAGCCCCTAGGCTAGCAATCCTGGAGACTATGTTGGCATTCAGCAGTTTTTAGTACTACATGTGCAGGCAACAAACCAGTCCTTTCCACCTTTTTGCACAAGACTGTTTTGTGAACTGCATTTGATAGTCAGAGTTATTCCCCTACAGATAGAGTAAAAACAGTCTGAAATTAATCCCAGGAGAAAAAAGTTTGTTATTTTAGACATACAGTTATTTTGATAGCATACAACAATCTACTTTTGCACTATAAAAAAGTCAGTAAAATCTATGTTCTAGAAGGGTATTTTAACAGTAATTAATTGCTCAAACACTTCATCAGGGTAGAATCACTAGACAAAATAAGGATGTGGCTTTTCAGTCATATTCAACTAATATTTTAGTAAGAGATGGGGTTTTTTTGCTGCCAAAGAAACAGATATATCTTTCTTTTTGGTATCACATGCATATTTGCCACCACTTCTGCATACTAAACCAGAAATTATAGTATATTCTATTTATGGATTTCTATCATCTGGCCTCAAAACTGCTTCTCCCAAGAATTTCCTATGATGGCAGCAGCTACTTTCCATCCGTTACTTGACAAAAACAGCAAGATATGTATACTCTGAGGGAAAGAGGATTTCACATATTGTTTCAATGCTCTCACCTGCTCTGATACAGTGTCTTCTGATGGTTTTCCTGCAGTCTCAAGGACTAATGGAACAAACAGTGTTAAGGGTTCTTCTCCTTGACTCTCAGACTGCAATTCTGATTCATCACTTAAAACTTCATTTGCTGTTTCCTCTTCAACTGTAAGTGAGGTCTTCCCAGCTTCTTCTGTTATCTCACCATTAAGAGGTTCTGATGGAATGTCCTAAAAAAACCCCCACATTTTAAAGTCAAGATTATGCCCCGTTATTGTTCCTTAACACTAGTGGGTGTATCTGTGATCTAGATTTGCAGCTTAATGTGAGAAGCAGATAGCCGACGTACCTAGAAATGTGTACTACAAAGGCAGAGCTTAGTGCAGAGTAGCTAACTTAACCAGTGTATTAGCTTAGTGTTGTCACCTGCACTGAATTTCTGACCATAGCTTACACTGTCAGGAGCCAAGCCAAGCAGTTTTCACGCACCTCGCAAGCATACATGCTGCAGTCATTCCTTGAACCCAACACAGTGTAAGATCCACTTTCTCACTGATCAGTAAGAACACAAAACCCTGGAGGCATTGCTAGTCAAAGGGTACTCACAGATTTAAAATTAGGGTGTTAACAAGTTGTAGATAAAAGTTGGATTTGAGCATCAAAGCAGGCAAGCTTTAAGTGGTGAAGGGTAAAAGAGCCAACAGTAGTCACTGAAGCATACCAGTTACCAGCTTCTTCAAAGAAACTTTTTTTAAAATTAGGGATAGTGGATCAAATCTTGATCTTACTCCAGTGCTCCAGAATATTTGAGTAGGAAAAAAATCAATTAAGAAAATTAGGTTGGTAGCCAAGCTAGAAATTCACCTTACTGACAATCCTAGAAACTCTATAGTTCAAAATAAGTACAATGGAATATTCCCTGAAACTAATTTTATACTAGCCTTAGCTTCTCATATATACTTCTCAACAAAGCATCAGTATGAAAAATCAAAGAATTGACACTCACATGGATCAAGGCAGCAAGGACCATATTTAACAGAAACCGTAGTTGTATTCCAAACTTATCTGCTCTCTTTATCACATCCAGCTCACCTTCTTCTCACTTGATTCCTCAGAGGGTGATACATGTTGCTCCACTTCTGGTACAGAACGGTCCTCATTTGTTTTTTCAACCTCCTCAACAGTATTGTCCTCAGGTACTTCTATTAAGTTTTTATCACTTTCAGATGTGGGAGCAGGAAGTTTCATCCTGAATCAGGTATTAAGATATATCCTTTATTCTTTTAGAGTAATACATAATTTTGGTAATCTCAGCAGGGAAATTTTTTCATGATCAGTTTGAAGTGCTGTATCACACGCGTGCTATAGGAAGTAGGAATCCAGAAATCTAAACTCCTGCTAAGTCATCAAGCAAAAAAACAAACCATCAACTAGGAAAAATTACTTTGGCAATTATATAATGAAGACAGATACCTCTCACTTCCATCTTAGGGGATTAAAACTCAGAAATTTGTTTGTTTGTTATTTTAAATTTAGAAAGCAGTAATCCATTACATATTTGGAAGCCACAAAGGTGTGAGAAAGGAAGTAAATTCTCCCACCACCACTGTGGAAGCAGTTTAAAATTATGGAGTTATAAAAGCAAATGTTTGTGTAATCATTGAATATACATATATGACAAAGACAATGACTGGAAAAGAATTCAAGGCAACATACACATGTCTGAAGAAGATTCAATCAGATAGAGATTAAATTAGTGAATAGCTAAAGATGAAGCTCTGACATCTGATGGGTAGTAGCACTATCTCAAACATTCAGTTCTCAGTTTTTGAGATAAAACTTAGATGAACTGGAAGTATTACAGACAAGCAAAGAAAAAAGTACCTCCAGTAGATTTGCAGGAGGCTGCTTCATGTTCTTACAGTTACGGCAGTATTGGAGGGTTTTATCCTAGGTGCCAGTCTTGAGATTAAGGCACTCCACAGGAGAAAGTCCCTGAGAGAAGACCCTGCTGCATTTGCTGATGTGCATGGAAGGAGAGAACCAAGCTGATATCCTGCCCTATCGTCATCAAGATTCCCCTTAGCTCTGCTCAAACACCACATTACACATCTGGTTCAAAGGAGCAGTGGCATCTCATTGACTTCATTTTGCAAAGCACAAAATACTGACATTCAGTAACAGACTAGTTCTCCCACATAGCAACTAGGTGATTTTTATTATGAACAGGGCAAAGTCTTTCTAAACTTGTGGCAGCATCAAACCACACCATTTAACCTGTCTGAACCAGCTTAGGGCACCATGCTGACAGCACAGGACAGCAGTACTGTATCTCTGTAATTCACTATTTAACACACAAAAATTAGCTGAAGACCTCAGTTGCACTTAAAAAAAAAGCGACCAATAAACACAATTAATTTTGTTTAAAGAAACCTAATGGAACACATTTGAGGGATTTCCTAGAAAATAATCAGGTTACCTTCAGTTCTTCAAAAGAGGTTTTTGGGGTTGCAGTGGGTTTTCCAGGAACAGAATTACAGAAAGAGAGAGAGATGGGGAGGGTGGGCAGTGGGTGTCTATGAGCATCCATAAAGTCACACACAGGAAGAGAGAGGAAGAAGAAATTTATTTATTCAAAAATAGCCACAGTTGTTCTTTCTGGATGGAAGCCAGTGCAGATTAGTACTTCAGGCCCTGTTTTGTATGAATTGTTATGGCAAACAAGTGTTACAATACTTCACACTCCCTTTTGGCTGTTATCACATAGGATAACATCCTTTAAACTGGAGACGTTTGGGATTTTTTTCCAGTGATGGTTTTAAATCACAGTTTGTCTAAACATACTTTACTCTGAAAATGGGTGGCTCCCTATAACTCTTTGTTATAAGGGACAAGCAGTAACCTGCTCCCAAACTAAACAGTCAGACTATTTTACTGCAGTATGTCACCATAACAATAAGTCAAGAAGGGACACATCTCCAAAGATCACACATAGTGTTGTGGATACCTGTCCAGTTATATTATCACAGAAGAAATTATGCTGTATGAAAACAGATGTTTTTACCTTCATGCAGACTCAGTTATTACAGAACACCCTCAACTGTCACTGTTTTCTTACTATTATTTCCAGTATGTGCCAAGTTTTCAGAAACACTACATTTTGGTGTAAATCACTCTTCAGGTGAAGTCTCAATTTTCTCTCTCACAATAGGCTTTATTTTTATTAATTTTAAAATCAAGCAAGTAAAGTAGGAAGAAAGGAGAAGAAATCCAAAGTAGCAAACTGAGATACTGATGTAGTTTGTGACTGCCCAAGAAACAAAATAAGAAATCAGTAAAATATGGGCTCCTTTACCTGCTTTCAGACACATGAACAGCATTTCCTTTATCTCCTTCTGAAGTTCCAGGTTCTGACTCCTGGCTTTTTTTTCCTGTCTTGGGACATCTGAAATGACTGCTTCGTGTCCAAATGGAAACAGGAACTGTGTTAGGGTCTTAGGAAAAGAAAAATCAAAACAACAAAATAAATGCAAGTGAACATATGCAGTTTAAGATCTGCATATAATTTTTTCCCCCCTAATATTTTATTAAAGAAACTGAGTATAAGTAAAACAGCATTTCACTGTGGCACTTCTTTTCTGAATACACATACATCATCTCTTCACCAAGGGTCATAAGAATTTTATCCAAAGTCCTCTAAAAGGTTTATGAGTTGAACCTCAGCACCTTAAAGGAAGGCATGTTTTTATACACTTTGCAGATGAACATGCTAAGACTAAAAACAATAAAAGAGTCTCTTAGTCACAGTACTGATCATCAAGGTTACTTTTACCTTTAGATGTGCTTGCATGAACATCTATTGATTCATTACCCTTTTGAGAGTCATCCTGTGAAGCAAAAGAAAAGTTAATATAATCCCCAAAACTTCAGAAATAATTGAAATGCCTTCATCTCCCTATCTGTGGTTGTATCTTTCTAAAGCGCTATTTCATTAGTAATGATCCTATGGAAGACCAACCACAACCATTCTTAATTTAAGATACTTACATGTATGTATCTTACCTCTCAAGAGATTTTTTTTTTTAATTATCTTTATTACAAGGATGAACAGTTTTACTCTGCATTTTACTTCTGATCTCAACAGATGAAAGTAACCTGTTATTATAGACAACTCTACCAAGTTTTTCCTCCTAGGCATTCTGTTTATAACAGGTGTCCACATAATTAAATACTACAAGTCTCTATGTTTCCCCTTTCTGTAAAATCCTAAGGGCCTACACAACAGTAGCTGTAAAAGGAACAAGCTTTAGAAAACTCCTTTCTCTTAGGATATAATTAATAGCAGGATTAATAAATAGATATTGTTTTAGAGGTTTAATTAATAGAGCACAGGCACTCTAGGAACCATATAACAGTCCAATGCAGAATGCACAGGTGCTCTAAGGACAATACTGAAAGTAAGTAACCATGATGTCGGAAGGCTGCATCAGTGAACAGTGGTGTATGGAGAGGAATGAAAATGGAACAATAAGAACTACCCAAAACTGTAGAATACAATGGAGTTTTGAAATTGATGATGAATTGAGAGCTGAAAGTTCCTGGAAAATCACCAAAGACTCTTTGTATTGTATGTTATATCATATATATAGAGGTCATTTTCTGTTAGCTGTTGCCACTCATGAAGGTGATGGCCCAACTCTGAGTTGTTAATAAGGCCAGCCTTAGAGGTACCCACAGTCTGGTGAAATCCTTTAACAGTTGACAAAAAAGTGACAGCAAAGTTATTTTTATATTTGTATTCTATTTTTCGGTCTTATTTTTACTGTGCCATGGGACAGAATATGGCAACCCATGTGAAAAAAAACAAAAAGATCAGACAAGAGAAAACAGAACTTAAGTGATTCAGCAGTAATGCAGGTTACATGCATAGTCACCACAAGGGACTGCTTATGTCAGAGTTCCCTCTCCCTAGAGCTCTTTTCTCTCTTGTTCCTCCCCACCCATCCCAAATACTTCCATTTTTTACTGCAAGTTCTGCTGCTTGAAATAGTTTCAAGTGAGTTTTAAACACATCAGAATTTGTAGATTAATGACAAATTATTCTAGCACCAAACACATAAAACAGGGAGCACTAAGTGAAAAGCGAAAATGAAAGTTGGGGAATGTTTTTCCTGGTTTGGAGGAACATGGGTTATTTTATTTTGTTTGGTGGTCCAACAGTTTTCAAAGCATTGCAGAACTGCTTACAGATGATGCAGGTACCAAGAGAGCTGCCAGCAACTCTATCAATCTATAAGAAGTTGGAGCACTTTTGTATCTACCACATGCCTCCTCTGGAAGAAGGCAAGAGACAGGGCTGTGTTCTTAACTCACAGCAACAAGAATCATAAGAACTACTATCCCTCTGCTGTTTTCTTCAAGTATATCCATGCAGCTATACAATCAAAACATGCATTTTTTTGGATCCACCTCTCCCCTACAAAAAACAGAAGGTTTTTTTAACCCTAGGTCTGTCATTGATGTTCCATCAGTGGGAAGCATAACATTCACCCAAGTAGTAATGAAAGCGTTTGTCTTATATACATAGTGGCAGACCTGAGCCAATTCAGTTAGAAGATGGACAAAAAGTATTTTTTCATACTTTGTTTTTTAGTAACAGAACAATCACAAAAAGAGGTAACAGACTGTATACCTACATTTGGCTGTGTCTGCAGCTCAGTCCCCTGTTCACTTACTTCAGATACCGCTGCAGACTGCTGGAAGTGACATTCTGCTAGGAAACTCTTACTTCCTTTAAGTAAGGCCTCTGTTGTTAAGATTTTAAAAAAAGGAAACAGGTAAACAGAAAGTTATAGTACCTTCATATAACAATTTATATAACCATTCCAAATATGATCTTCTCAGATCTCAGGACAAATAAAAGATCTTTTCTGTTAGTTCCATTGGCAGTGTTCACAGAAGTCACTGATGTAGAGTGGTCAACTTTTACAAAGTGTCACAAAACAACAAACCAGAAGTATACATACTTGCAGTTTTGAGATTTTCACTTTGCAATGTAGACATAATGGATGTTTTCTGGAACCAATATCCTGCTCCCTCCACTTCCCACAGAAGGTTATGATCCTCAGGGTACTTATCAAGATATAGCTTACAAGCTGAACAAACATAAGAACCATGTATTACATACACTATATACTCAACTGTACTTCAGTTTTTAAAGTTTATCTGAAAACAAATTATTTTGCAATCTTCCATTATACATAAATCACCACAGTAAGAACTGTTCAACAAAACGGTCACAGAAATCAATCAACTAGGTTGGAAAGGACCTTGAAGATCATCCAGTCCAACCATTAACCTAATACTGCCAGTTCCCAACCACACCATATCCCTCAGCGTTATGTCGACAGGACTCTTAAGTCCCTCCGGGGATGGGGACTCCACCACCTCCCTAGACAGCGCATTCCAACACCTAACAATCCCTTCTGGAAAGAAGTACTTCCTGACATCTCATCTGAGTCTGCTTTAACCTGAGTATTGCTTTAACCTACTCATCCTTCTCAGTAAAACCTTTCTTCAGATTTAAACATTTTTCATTATCTTAAACTGCAAACAAAGATGGATGGGATTTTCTTCTTCTCCAAGCACCTACTTGAGAGTTTTACAGGTTCACTGGTCCCTGTCCCTACCAATCACAAAACCCATCCCAGGATGTCAGGGCTCTTAGGCAGAAGATATAGTCAAGTGATTTTTGTTATACCATGTTATTATAGTCACTTGTAAAAAGCACTCCCTGGGAATGCTAACACATTACCACTGCATGATTTATCATCCACTCATTTTACTTCTGGAATATTTTTTTCTCTGCTGTCCCTCCACCTGTTTTCTCCCAATACACTTACTAAACATACCTGTGAAGAGGCAGACTTTGACATTATTCTTTAGTAGCTACCAGGAAAACTACAGTTTTTCACCTGTTTTACTAGTGATGCATCATCTCAGTAGACAAGATTCCTGATATATCGTTCTTTCACCAAGAAAACTTATTAGTTATGCAGTTCCACTCGAGACAGCTTGCTGTTTGAAGCCTGACAAACCAGGTCTAGTCAGATCCAACAACTTGGAAAAGCAGAAAATTTCTAATGGTTAAGGCAGCCAGATAAAAATTTTCATAGAAGGAAGCCTGGCAGATGGCCTAAGAGTAGCACAAGCCTTGAGAAACAGGGCAAAGGAAATGAGCTTCTTGCCTGAACAGAGACCCAAGTAACACTGTTTCCAGAATGTGTGTCATTTCCTAGATGACATAACCCTCTTGGGTTGCTAATGCAAGAGCCTTAAGTGTTTTCTTTGTACACTGTAACTGTGCCTTCTTATACCCGAGTTAGAACATAGCCTAGTATTCCCATTTGAACAGAAGTTCTAAGAAAGCATGAATTACATGACCTTGTGAGGCTTAGTTGGTGAGCAAGAAAAAAGTGTTACAAAGAAGATATACATTAGATCACACAAACACCTCAGTCCATTCTGGAGGCTTGCAGGGGGATGAGGTGGGGGATGGGACAGTGGTAAACTTCACAGTAGCCAGCAGAGATCAAATAATCTTATCTCATGTGGAGGATTAAAAAAAAAAAATTCTCATCAGGAACTACTTCACAAATCAGTGGTTTTAGCCTTCACTGACAAACAGAACATTCAATACAGAAACTGAGGATGCAGCCACAAATATGGAGCTTGAGTGACAGCACTTCTGGACGTGTAAAGAAAGCACAAAGATCAGAAAAATTAAGAGCTTGCCTGTATACATGAAGGTTGACAGTGGGTATCGTAGGCCAAGAGTGGCTTCTCTAAAGGAATCCACAAAGTCTTCCAACATGATTAACCCAGACTCCCTCTCACGGTGGTTCTTTCGTACAAACATTGTGTCTAGCACTGATAGCTTGTAACTCTCACCCCGGGAAGAGCTACAAATACTTCCTGAAATAATAGGAGGGGGAAAAACAGCCATCAGTACTTCAGCGTTGACATGCTGCAGCATGGATTTTAGCATATTCAAATAAAGACTTCTACAAGTCACAAAAGCTATACCAATCTATATAATTGTAAATAATATAAAATTATTAAATCTAATGTTCATTAAAAATAATTACTATGAGCCATTTCTTAGCTCTTTAGGTAAGCTTCATCATGTTGCCAAGATGTATCAATAGATTAGTATGTTAGATAGCCTGTAGCACAAGAACAGCAGAAATAGAGAGGAAAGGCTCACTTTGAAATCTCACTATACAATTCCATAGGAAAACTATACTAAAAATGAAGCTGAAAGAAGGAGGAGGAAACAGGATACAATAAAACTCTTTACTTGCTTTTTTTTAATGTAGATTACATTACTCCTCAGGACAAATACAACGACTATAATCTACCTCTTTTTTAAGGACTAAAACAATAATTCTGATTTTTTTAAAATGCAACTACAAAAAAATCCTAGGACACTTGACACTGGAATTCTCCCATTACAAAATCCACATTATCCATAATTATACCAAGATGAAAGAATGTCACAACACAGAGATACTTCAGTATCAGAGGATTCAAAATGTAGCTATGGACTCAGTGGTGATAGAGTAATGCCATTGTAGCAGCATTAGAATAGCCCATCAACCATTCAATCCATTTTCAGGCCCTCATTTTGTGAGCTGGTATGAACTCTGCAGAAAGTTGCCCTTTCCTCTAACAAGGCCAAAAAGAAACATACACTTGCCTATACAACACAGTTAATCTTTGCATCCTTGCACTTTTGAGACCAGTGATCTCCATTTTTCAAGCAAGGTAAATGTGGGCAGAGAGCTTACATTACCTGGATACCATTTGGGATACAAGTCAAGCTCCACCACTCCTCTCTAACCATCTGTTTCTGGAACCATCTTTCTCCACATAGACTACTCAATTTGGAGAACACAGCACACAATCAAATATATTGATAATGCCTAGAAAGAACTGCCTTCAGAGTTTGCTAACTCGGGACAAGTAAATGAGAGCGCATCATGAGAAATATAACAAGTGAGCATGAGTACAACAAAACCTCAGTGCCACATAAGGAAGTGTCTACATCCTAAACTAAAAATAGAATAGCTAATTTCCAATTTTATTATGCCACACCAAAACCCACTACAATGTAAATACTACTTGGCGACCACCACACTACAGCAATTTTGACATTAAAAATACTGAGACTTATACAAATTATGCAATGCAAAATTTATTTAAAAAAAAAAAAAAGAAAAACCACAAAAAGATAACAAAGGCAATCAGAACAAATTAACTGGTTGGTTTCTGATCTTGATTACCAGACCAGAATAGGTCAGTGACCCAGACAGTTTACAATTTTATTTCCAACAGTTTGCAAAGAAATACATGCATGTTAAGTGGGGGAAGTCTCCAGTAAACCTCCAGTACCACCATTAATCCTGAATTAGTTAACCCTCTCTAGAGATGAAACAAAAATACCAGACCATTTCTCCTTGATCCAGTTACTGATATACTACAAAGTGCTATCAATGTGCTAGGCAGTTCACCCAAATACTAAATTTTATTCAGCAAAAAGTTAAAACCACAATATAGTTTTTCTTCAGTTATTTTGGAATTTAATGTTTTAGAAAAAGAGAAAAACAGCAAGCCTGTAACATTAAAAACATAAACCTGTGAGATAATTTGTAATCTGAGGTAATGTATGTGTGGAAGAGAATCTTTATTATCACCAGCTGTAGCTGAATCTTATGCCTGTGAGCAAAGTTTCTATGCTGTCATGCTATAAAATGTCTGAATGATAATGACATCTGATTCTACAATCATTTCAGAAACAGGATCTCTGCATTCTGGAGCTAGGTCAAAAAAACCTAGAAAAACAAGCACAGCCCAAACCAACCATAAACGTTTGTTATATAGAAAAAAGTTTGCAGTGTACCTAATTTCTACATTTTAAACATATTGTAGAACATGAAGAAATCTAAGAAGTTTCTTAGATCGCTAAAACACAAACATTTAAGCTAGAAATTTTAACAGCTATCTGAGCTCTTATGATTTCAGAAAAACACCAATTCATTAGGCCTGCAAGGCTTGTAAAGTCTACTAAATACAGTATTCTTTAAATAAGCTCTCTATCTACCCCTTCCAAACCCCACAATATCAAGTGTTCTACCTTTAGGTTTAACAGAATAGAATCCAATAGCCTCTCCTTTTTTCCACAGGATCTTAGCATAGTCATTGCTACTGTGACAGAGAAAAGGGATCTCATTTCTTCCCATTTCTTGTGTCCGATAGATAATTCGATTCAGAACATAAAGAACAATTCTCTCTCCAACAGACTCCACCTAAGGAAACAAAGAACATTTTAGAAGCTGAAATTTAGATTAGATAATACACATCAGGTACCTTATTTTTCAAAGTTGCCAGTTGCAGATGGAGTCAAGAAAAGCTGCAAGTGCTAAAGCAGGATGATGCTCTGTGGTTTGAGGGCAAAGAAGTGCTCAGAAGCCATAGCAATAGATTAAGTATAAGGTACTATCACCAGGCAGAGGATATTTCACATCTTCAGCGTCACTCCTAATCCAATGGGTAAAAGCTCAGAGGACTGCTGGGAGTGGGGTGGTGGTGGGAGCATTTTGATTTTAAGTCAAAACTATTTTTGGATTTAAGAAAAACATTCAAACAGCAGTACACCAGCCTGAGAACTCCCAGGCTAGCAGGTAACTGGAGTCCTGCAAAGGAGTAATTATGATCCTCACAAGGTAGTGGGACTTGGCACACTCAATCACTGCTGATAGTGGTAGACAACAGGATACAATGTAGTGAAAGAGCTAGTTACAACAGTTTCTGTGGCATGAAACAGGAACTCCATACCCTTTTTTCTGTTCTGCAGGGTTCCTTTTACATATGAAATTTAAATTCACCACTGTCCTACCCACTGTGAAGGACAAATAAAGGAACCATGATCTCTTCCCAATGCCTAGTCCCAGCTACCGTACTGGTGAAAGATTCAGCTTTCCTGATTTAATTGGCATGGACAGCAACATGGAACACAAGGCTACATGCCAAATTCTCTACAGTAATTATATAAAAATTAAAGATAAATGCCCAGATTCCATGAGTACATGCTAATTACACTCCTGAAAAAAATAGAGGTTTCCAGTTTTGGAACAAACAAAACTCCATGTTACCTAGTAATGTAACAAAGGTCAGTAATGAGAAACAAAACAGATACCATGCAACTTACTCTCCCAAACCTCATGTATTGCCACTGCAAGCCAGCATCTCCAACTTGCCTATCAAACAGGTTTCCAACAATATTTTTATCTTACTAGTCTCCTGATCAGACAATGATACAATGCTCCACTCTAAGACATTTCAGTACAACCAGACACACAACATTCTAAAGACCAAAGAAAAAACTCTTAACATTATTAATATCAAAAGAGCTTACATATGAAGCTACTGTATTAGTCATTTTTGCTCTCAGTGCTATATTCACAACCAAGTTCCCTTTCCCCTGATACCTAGTCCTCTACTCTCATTGACCTTGCCTTTGACTTGAAACAGCCAACTCATTTCTGAATTAAATGAAAGCACATTAACATCTCTCACACTAGCTATTTGCCATTATCTTGAAGGATAAGAATAATTGCTAGGTGAGTGTTGGAGCACTTTACCTTGTGAAGCCCCTGTCTAGTTGTAACAGATGTTCTCAGAACGTCATCAACTGACCACCACCGATTAGCAAGATACAGGGCTACAGCTTGAAAGAAACAAGTAGAAATAAAAAGTTAGTGAGTCTTACCATTCCAAAATAAGCATGGTCATTAAAGCTTCTAAACAACTAGGAATAACACTGTAGTAACCAAGTTAAACATCTTACAGTTGGCACTATATTAATGCAGCTCTTACTACCTGTACTAGGTCTGGCTGAGCCAGAATTGGATTTCCCCTATAGCAGCCCTCATGGTGCTGTGTTTTACGCTGGGAGCTGGCAGGGTGTCAAGAGCACCCTGGTGTTGTGGCTGCTGCTGAGCAGTGCTTACACAGCACCAAGCCTCTTTCCAACATTTTTCCTCCCCCAGTGGGGCGAGGTGGGCAAGATCTTGGGAGGGGACACAACCAGGACAGCTGACCCCAACTGACCAAGGGGATATTCCAGACCACGTGATGTTTGCTCAGTATAAAGCTGGGAGAAAGGAAGAAGGGGGTAGGGTCACCCTCGGTCCTCCCAGGCAACCACTCAGCATATCAGAGCCCCACTTCCTGAGAAGGCCCCACAGCGCCTCTTCATGGGAAGTAGAGAGTAAATCTGTTTGCATTTTTGCTTCCACGCACGTAACTTTGCTTCACTTCACTTATATTAAAACTGCTTTTGTTTTACCCACCAGGGTTGGGGGGATTTTTCCTATCTTATTTTCTTTTCCCTCTTTGCCTGTTGAGAAAAAAGGGGGAAGGAGGTGCTAGAGCTCAATGATGAAGGATAGTGCTTGTGTCTGAAGAACAGTTTCTATGTGTCATACTGTCCAAAATCTGCACTTGGTTTTATTCTTCTCAATTTTCAAACAAGTTTTTGACTAGGGAGCACTTCATATGGGGTGGTGTTTAGCACATTTGTTGTGCTGTGGTAGTTTGACCTTGGCTAAATGCCAGGTACCCACC